CAAACAAACTATGTATGTTAACACATAGAAGACTTCAGGCCCGGTCTTCTTCCAGTCCGCAAGCCAAAGATATTCATTGTTTGCATCTCTAAAACTCCTTATTAGCCCTTATCATGCCTCTTTTTGCTGGGGTCTTCCATTAAAAGAGGTAGTTTAGAAGCTGATCATACGGGAATTTCAGGCGAAGAGGGCATCAGATGCAAATACCCTATATGATTACGTATCTTTCCGAAAATTGCTTTGGCTATATTTTTTGTTTTTTTTTAGCATTGCTCAATTAGGGCTTAAAAAACCGGTTTTTTTTTAGCATTTGACATTACTGAAATGGCAATTTTCATATTTTTACGCAAAATGCAATGGTTTTTCTTCAGGCAGTCTCCTCAGTGATTATTGTATACACACATGCACTAAACGGGCGTTATGATGATGCGTTTAATTTGATCAGCGAGTTGAAGAAGAGATTCACAATGGAAAATAACTGGCAGGTGCGCTGTACCGGATTTTTTTATAAAAAACCAAAGGAAAGTCCAATTGTGGTAACGGTAAGAAATGTATACGACTTAATGGACCGAAACGTTTCTTACCTATTACAAATATTTGCTTAATCCCCTTTCCCCATTTTATTTCGCTTTTTCTTCGTTTTCCCTTCTTCATATTTTCTCTTCAACATTAAATGACTAAATGAATTGTGAACAGAAGAAAATACAAACTTTGATTGGTACATTAGCACTACCATCTTCTCCTGTATAACTTCCGGAAGTATTTATGCATTAAGGTAATAGCTTCTTCATATGTGTCTCTTTTAATAACCTTATGAACGTGCATGACACACAAGTGCTGTGTCGAGAAGCCTAACCCAACAATTGCAAACCTTTCTTGGACTGCCGCGCTCGAAATAGAAGAAAAGAAGGATTTCACTTGAATGTCATGTGTTTGAAGACATTTTATGACAGTTTTTGTTTCATCCCTTAGCTGTATACACAGACCGAACTGTGCATGCGGGTAGGAGTGGGAATCATTAATACAGCCTCCTACCCGCCATGTTTTGAATAGTCATGTGTCTAATTTGCAAGACAGATGACAGGAATAAATACAAATGAGTGAAGGAGCAAACAAAGTGAGAAAGAAAGTAAAGAAGAGAAGCTAAAATGTGAAGGAGCAAACGGAAAGGAAGGAAAGCAGGGAAGTTGAATACGGACAATCATTATATTGTTGATTGGATCAGGAGAATAAGTGATTCTCTGCAGCAGTCTTGTGTACAAAGCACTAATTAAGGTTAAAATTGGTGTCGAGGCTGGGCAGGACCTCCTGCTGCAGGCAACCGGCCCGCCCGCATGAAGGAGAATCAAATCAATTTTGCTGGGGAAAAGGAGGACGGAGTGGAGAGCTGTTCCCCCCTCACCCTTTGGAAATACATTAGATAACACAAAAAACGGCTACAAAAATTGGTCGACCAACGGACAAGATCCGTGCTGTAGGTAGGTAAGTTTTTCTTGACTTTTCCTGCGCCTTTTTTCCTCCATTTTGACCCCGTGATGTAATTAATAATGGGTTTGTTTTAAGTGTGCTAATCACTGGAAGCGCTGCGAATCTTTGGTAAAATACGATTGGGAATTTTTCCGCGGTAACTGGATTGCTGCTGACAGATGGCTTGCAATTATGGCTCAGTTAGCACCCATTGAAGCTGGTTTAAGGTTAGTTAATTTTGTGTTTTATTATTGTTATTGTTGTTGTTGTTGTTGTTGTTATTATTATTATTATTATTATTATCATTATTATTATCATTATTATTATTA